CAAGGTCGGAGGCTGCCGGGAAGTGGTTGGACATCGACCTTGCTCTCGATATACCGGATCTCAGTGGTAAGTGTGCATATATGCATCCACAATTGACGACACCTGACTATATGTTCTTTATAGTGGAGGCTTTGGGTCTGTCTTATCTTGAGGGTAGAGAAGCACCTGGGGCGGGTGTCCAAGCGGAATGCCTCGGTACAGTGGTCAGTTCTGTGTGGCAATTCGGGTAACCTCACCGTATATATTAGACTCCGCTGTGAAACCCGCTGCCTATGAGTCCGCAAACCCACCCGACATGGACGTCGATATGTCTCCTAGCTCCCGTCAAGAATAAATGCAGTGTCTACTAGACAGACCTCTTCTTCAGCGATGACCTTGTGGACCACGAAGAAACGTCTCCAGTTTGTGAAGGAATTTGCGGTTGTGCTATGGATTTGAACGCCGCAGCCCCTTGTATTGAACACCGTTCTAGAGTCTAGAGTGAATAGAATCAGAGCTGGAGTAATGAAGATGATCAACTCGACCTCTGTGCATAACTATATGTAGTCTACAGTAAGTACTGTACTTCCTGCAGGTGTATTGATCGGCGGCAAACTCTAATTAGGTCTTTGATGATTAAAGTAGAGTCCACCGTGGGTAGTATTTCAGGGGTAATTACGTGAACTGCCGTTCAACGTTAACGTTCAACTGCAACCATCACAAGCACCGGCTTGTTTAGAAAAAACATCGCCGCCAGTGAGTCTGCGGAATGATTGACTGCTTTGGAATGAGAGTTCACGGGAATCTGTTACTTGTTCCGCAGTCGACGATAGCTTAACGCGGCGGCCGGCTGGTGGCTGTGCCGTCAGTCAGTGTTGTTCGCTTTTAGTTACGTTTACCATGGTCAAGTTAGTAAGTTAATGGTTATCAGGCAGAGTTATTAACCATTGGGTAAATTAACCTAACTAAGCGGACAACAGCGGCCGTCCATGATTGGCTCGTCTGAGGCCAATAATTTGAGTTTTCCGGCGAAATTCATGTTTCCAGAAAACTTCTGATTAACGCTGACTTGGTGACCTTCGGCAACGGATCCGTTGGCGGGGGATATTTAGACGCCATTGATGGTCAACAGTTAAGGCCGCGTTCGATGACACCAGTTATCGTCGGCCTATGTTATGTTATCCCGCCAAATTCATAACGGGCTTGTTATACGCCTGTTATCAAATGTTATCCCATCAGACTCGAAGCGCCGCGTTACTTCAGCGGTTTTCTATGCTGTCACGTCGCACAGGCGTCTGTCACGCTAACATGTCCTTGCCTTTGCTCTTGTACTGCTCTCGCTCGTTTCATAATTTTCTCAGCCCTCCACAGCCCTCCAGTAAGTACCGAAGTGTGCTGAGGATGTTGTTTTATGGAGTGTGCATACACAGTGGCAGCAGCAGTAGAGGATAAGTAATGCTGCAAGAAGAACAACTTTTTTTTTGTCGTGCATGCTCAGAAGCACTGGACCTTTTCAAGGTGCTCAGTATTGGCATGATACTGTGTGGGGAAGGTGTGTTATGATGTGGAATAAATAGAGCCAGCCACGCTCACTCAGCACATGTACACAATGCACATACCATTCGGCAAGTGAGTGTGACACTATTGTGACGTTACTGTGACGCTACTGTGACCTCTTGTGGAAGCCACGAGAATTGCTGACAAATCTTTGATAATGGAGGATAGCATAACATAACGGCGGATAATGGGTGTCATCGAACGGGGCCTAAGTTATTTAGACGGTTAACGGTTACCATTGACCATAACTAACACAACTTTGTAACTTAACCGTTAACCGGAACAACACTGCCGTCAGTGTATCCTCGGACAAGACACATCATCCTGACGAGATAGAGGAGAGTCCCCGATCTCTACCAGTCAAGTGTGCCGCGTATACATGTCTTGGTGACATCACTCTCACGGCAGCTCTTGTGCATATAAAGACCATCTATGTCGGTACTACTGCACTGGCCAGACCCCGCCATTGGAAACATGAACATCCTCGCAGATTCCATTCAAGCCATCAAAGAGAATGTCTCTCCATCTACAGTCGCACTTACCGTTGTGGTGGGCGCCGTTGTGATTGTTGTGTACAAGGCAGGCTCCCTCATTGTTCATAATCTCACCTCTCCACTTCGTTTGCTTCCTGGTCCGCCGAGCCCTCACTTTTTCTGGGGGCATGGAAAAGAAATATTCAAGGAAGACCACTCTGTGCCCCAAGAGAAATGGATGGAGCAATATGGACCAACCCTCTCCTACACCGGCACGCTCGCTGTACGCCATCCCCGCACTCTTCTTGTCTATAGCTGACACCACTCTCACACTTCAGATTCCCCGCTTATGGACGATGGATACCCGGTAAATACTGTCGGTTCTCTTGGAAATGTACTTCCACCTCATATGGGCCTAGTGCACTGAACCACATCCTCGCGCATACATACACGTACCAGAAACCATCACAGAGTCGCTTCCACCTGGCACGCATGGTTGGTCCGGGTGTTCTTGTTGCTGAAGGTATATTCTAGCAATTAATTCACCTACTGTCTTCTAAGTCAATTTACAGAGGATCAACATAAGCATCAGGTGCGCTTGCTTTCTGATGCTGTATGCGCGTATCTTGATCCATTTCCACAGAGACGAGTATTGAATCCTGCATTTGGGCCCGCCCAAGTACGCGAGCTCACCGAAATCTTCGTTGAGAAGTCGCAAGCGGTTCGTAAAATGAAGAAAAAGCCAAACTGTTGAAGGAAGCTAAAAGATTTCATTTACAGCTTCGCGATAGGTGGCTCGAGGAAATCGCTAAATCCGGTACAGGGGATACTCACGTGGACGCAATGACCTGGCTTAGCAAAACGACACTCGATATCATTGGTCTTGCTGGTAAGTTCACTTTGCAATCTTTAACTATCCGCTGACGTCGAGCAGGATTCAACTACAACTTTGGTGCCCTTAACCCTACCGGAGAAATAAACGAACTCAACGAGGCGTTTAATACTGTGTTTACCGCTACAACCGAACCCCGCGTATTCTCCATGCTACAGGGTATTATACCGGTACTGCGTATCTTCGTGGGTCTTCCACTGTGATTACACAGTGAGTAAACGACTGACCAGTAGTGTATAGACAACTGAGGAGTCGCGCCGTTCGGCCAAGGCACAGGAGACAATGCGACGCATTGGGCTTGAGCTCATCGCGGAAAAGAAAGCTTCGATTATCGCCGCAAGTGGGCAGAATGGTGTCGAAAAGAAGAACGTGGTTGGCAGGGACTTGCTAACTCTACTTATCAAGGCGAATATGGCGACAGACATACCGGAAAGCCAGCGGCTGTCTGATGAGGAGGTGCTTGCACGTAAGTGTTATATGTCGAGCTCTTCCACACCAGTAAATCGCGATTTTAACAGAGGTACCAACTTTCATTGTTGCTGGACACGAGACAACGTCGACGGCGACAATGTGGGCTCTCCATGCCTTTACACAACATCCGGATGTTCAGCGTAAGCTAAGAGACGAACTACTTACTGTGCCTACGGAGGATCCTACTATGGACGATTTGCAAGGACTTCCGTACCTGGAGATGGTTGTCAAAGAGGTTCTGCGTCACTACTCCCCAGTGCCGATGACCATTCGCGTCGCCACACATGACGATTTGATTCCTTGTGCTACGCCGTACACGGATAGAAACGGTGTACAGCGTGATCATATCCGGTGAGAGGAATTGGACGAGTTCTTTGGGCCCCCGTTATTCATAAACTCTCAGCGTCACGAACGGAGACGTCGTCATGATTCCTATCCTTGCCCTCAACCGTTACAAGCCATACTGGGGAGAGGATGCTTTAGAGTTCAAGTGCGCTCCATATATTTTATTGTCATTCATTTAATCATGACTGATGTTACTCTATTGCTAGTCCAGAACGTTGGGAACATCCTCCAGAAGCGATCACCTCGATCCCCGGTGTATTTGGCAATATTCTCAGCTTCATTGGTGGTCCTCGTTCCTGCATTGGCTATCGCTTTTCGCTCATCGAGTGCGTTACCGTTTCCTTTTTTGAACTACAAGAACGACGGCTTATAATCTATGCGTAGGATGAAAGCGTTGCTCTTCACCCTTGTGAGAGCATTCGAGTTCGAACTGGAGGTGCCTGGTGATAAAATCAAGAAGAGGTCGACGATTGTACAGAGGCCCTTCATCATTGGCGATGAGAACACTAAAGAGGAGAGCAAGATGCCGTTGATTATTCGTCCGTACATTCGTGCCTAATATTGCTCATTTTTCAATTATTTTCTTGGATTTGTGGTAAACTGTACTTGTCATTTCGTTCATTCATGATGCACTCGTATTAAACACCTTGTTGCGAAAGAGAGCGAATGTCACTACTTTGATTCCTATGCGTAAGCCAGGGAATTATACAGGTATACATTGCTGAGAGTGTTTATAGAATTATGGAAATGCAGTACTGTCCATGTCAGATTTGTAAGTAAGCAATAAAGTGGTGGTCATGGAGCTGCCATTTCATATACGTTTACTAGCAACAGCAGCATGGTATGGGTATGATGTAGCAGCATCCTCCGTCCTACATAGTATAGTAGTTAGCTTATGACGCGAAAGTAATGTTGAAGCAAGCTTACAGGACAAGGAATGCATCCTCCACGGATCCTCTCTGCACGTTGTTCCTCTACCTGAGCGTCTCGGTTTACAGACATTGTCTGCGTGGGTGCTGGTTGCACAGCGTGCACTTGGTCGTGAGCAGTGTGGACAGCAGGAGGGTATGTGGGCTGTGAAGACTCGGACATGGTGTATGATGTAGGTGGGTGTTTGAGGCCCAGGGTAAGGTCGAGGACCTGTTATATATGAGATGATGAGTCCATGGAACTGCGGGGAAACTCACAGCCAGACCGAGATGACGTTGTATACTTTATTTTTTTTGCATACATATATTCAAACAGATTCTATTATAACGTCGGCTCTATGGTCTAGTTGTATCGGCTCAATGGTCTAGTAGTATGATTCCTGCTTTGGGTAATGATTACGTATGCAGGAGGTCTCGGGTTCAATTCCCGATTGAGCCCTCTTTTGCTCCTTTTTTATTTTTATTTCGATGAAGATTGTGTCAGAGTGACCCAGGGAAGCCATAATTTTGCTCCAAAACACGGAACTTTTTTTTTTCCAAGCCTGCACTTATTTTTTTGCAGATTATTACCTTTTTAGGCAACGCTCTCTGTGGATTGTTCCGGCAGTGCTACAGTAAGAATGACAATGAGTTGCATGCTACTAATATAAGAATTTGAAGCAATGAAAAAGAAAACTTGAAGAGATTATAGCGTGTTCAGGCCACTGCACGAAGCAGCGATTGTAGGGTGCCGCGTACTTACTCCACATACACAACACAGTGCTTCATATTAAAGAGCTTCCCGGGAAGAGTCCGAAGAAGCCTCAGACACAAATATAGATATGCTACGCTTTGCAGTAGGATGCTCCCATTACCCACCATGCACCCCTCTCACCTCGCATACCCACCACCCGCGCACCTCATCCACTCCCGTCTAGACAAGGCGCATGCCAAACCAACGAAACCGACTCAGGTCACAGTCTTCTGTCGAGCGACTAGTGGTGAGGAAGAGAACCGCAAAGAACGGCTTCGTACTGGCTGCGTAGTTTGCTCAGTAGGTAGATTAAATATTGTGATCCTGGGTGGTAACTTTACAATGTCTCTTGTCCTCAGCACGGTGGTCGTTGCTATATTGTCCCTATTTCATGTCAATCGTAAACCTCCTTGCAGTATGAAATCGAGGAGACGATGTTCATGATTCGCAATGGACCGAACGCTGGTTCTTCTGCTGCGTGTCGGTATCTGTTACTTATAAATAGCGCACCAGTGAGGGATATATGCTTCGACTACCGTCCCGTACACCAGTTTTTGAGGATCACCTGTATTGAGCGCACTTGTCAGAATATCTTTTTGATGTACGGAGAACAAAATAGAATGGACAGACGGCTGAGGGTAGTGCTGAGCTTGTTTCGTCAATGAATATGCCAACAATCAAACGCCCCAACCTTGAAGCCAGTGGTGATAAACAACTTTACCGTCAAACACTAACAGATTACAAGGGTCAAAGGCTCCCGTAATAAAACTGTTTGGGGCTGTAAGAACTGTCGTGACCAAAATTTGATAGATAAGCCGTATTTACTCAAAGATTGTCTACATAACCTTTCCGTACGATGGCAAATATTCTCCCGCGTAGGCACGGATCACTTTATTCGGTCAATATTCGACATAGCGCACTGCGCACCTCAAGGTGACCCTGCACGGGCCATGCAAGGGTAGGGTTGAGCCACAGAGGTGAAAAATACCTAATGGTGTCACTGCGGCGGCGCGGAAGAGGCGTAAATTATTGTACATTAATCTGCTAGGATCATGAGTAAAACAAAAGCAAAAACTTGTGTAAAAATTGCATCACCGCTCAAGTCTTTGAACTTTTGAATCTACTCGAGCCCAGAGTTATCGATATCGGGAGCTTCGTGATGAGGGCCCTATTGTAAACCGAAAAGGAACGGAAAGATAGTTAAGTATGCGAACTCCTTCGCTGTGGGTGTCAAATTTGTACGTACCAAGACTTTGAGTCTTCGGAGAAAACTATCATATCCAATCTCGTGCCACAACCCGTTTGATTCACCGTCCTCATAGTATAATCTGATATTCCGCGGCCAAATTACGTCGAGGATCCGGCTCAGGTGCTTCTGCCAGCAATTGACAAGTTCCACTAGACCTTGGTATAGGTCGCATTGTACAGCGATACAATCGAGGTCTGGAAACTTGAGGACCGTCGAAATGAGAAGGTCCCAATCTAATGCATAGAGCACGCCCTGAAGGTGTTTGAGCCACAGATAGTAGGATGTCTGAAACGTGTTGTAACGAATAGAGATGAGGAAGCATTGAATGCTTTCAGAATTTGCATGGAGTTCCGAGCGACCGGTGAGACAGCTAAATCCAATGGGCGATCCAGATACGGAAGAGATGATCGAAGTCAAATATAATCCTAGTCATGAAAGGGTTATCAGCATCGAAGAACCCGTGGATGATAATAGTAGGGACAGACTTGTAAGATCAATGGGAAAGTACTCTTCCGCAACTTCACAGCAGCCAACGCTCCAGAGGCGTACGGAGACGGGCCCCGAATCGTCAAATGATAGCGAAGCCGCATTGTCATAGAACAAGCGCATTACGCGGAATAAAGGGACAGAATCAGATGGGCCGAGAAATCGTTGCCACTCTCTGCTCCCAACCACGGCGCGACGTGTGTGACAGTGGATTGCGGCATTCACCATGATGTCATCTGTGCAACTCGTTGCAGTTGAATCTCGCAGGGTGGACCCTCCACAGACAGAAACTGTCATCTCGGAGTGGAGAGTAGGCGGACCTTTATCCCAAGTGAGGCCCTGGCAGTATATACTGGAAGACCTTAGAGGGTACAAGTCCGATAAAAGATTCAGAAGAGTGGTGTAATTGGCGAAGTGGATATCCTGCAGAGAAATGGTGATATGCAAGTTCTTGAAGCGTGGAAATGGAACAACCCTCGGCGCACAGTAGAACAACGGATGGCTGATGGTGAGTCGCAATTGATTGGTGAACGCTACCGGAACAGGGCCGCCGATATGAAGCTTGAGTGACTGTAGTCGATGTGCGCCATCGGTTTGTAGCCATTGAACACCGTGGAACCATGGGTAATCGGCCAACTTGTAAAATACCACCAGCGACGTCAGGTAGTCGCTAATGGGTGGAATTCTCGGGCCAGAAGGGGTGTGGAGGATGCATCGCAGTGTACGAAAATCTTCAGCAGAACGCAGTACGAGTGTAGCATACATTGGCACTCTGATTACCTGTGCCCATCGGACACACGTCAGCGCACAGGCAGAGAGATTCCGCATTTCCTCCTGCCGTGCCGCCAAATCAGTGTCAAAGTGCCAAAGACGACTGGTATCAGCAGCGAGAAATACGATATTATCCAATATCTCTGCCGGTAATTTGGTAGCTGAGGATGTCATCTGCGATCACGAGAGCGATCTTCCACTCAATCTTGGTGGATTACTTGGTGGAAGCCGCAGGATTGTTGACACCTACGAATAAAACGACACATGTCAAATAAGTGGTCTCATGAAATGGGAGCTACAATTACCAGTAAAGACAAGTTGCTACCCCTAGCTATGTGTGAAGCTGAGTAGGGTTGAGAATACACCGGAACGGCGGGGGGAAAACCAAGGATGTTCATATGCACTGGCCCGTATACAGCGTCAGTCTCGGGTGATGCAGACTCTATTGGACCCTAGAAGGTATAATAAATGTCAGTTTTACGATGCGTTGTTTGTCATAGGGTTCATTGCCAAAGAATACGCACCTTGTGGCCGAGCCTCCTGCATAGCCAAGATGAAGCCTAGAATCATTTAATCATGATTGAAGAGATAATAGCCCATAGGTACCGCGGATAAGAAGGCTGCGTTGGAAGTCCTCGCGGAGATAGAGGTGTTCCCCATCGATATGCGGAGATGCCTGTGTAGTGGCTGCGATCCTAGTATCCGCTCGTCATGTGGCGAAAATGTGCGCTGTTCGGAAGTTCTCTTTGTATTGAAGCTATGTTTCGGTCACTCCATTCCAGGATTGCTAGACAAATCAATAGTCATCAGTCTTTGGTTCCTAGCCTCATGCTGGTAGAAAAGGGACATACCTGCACCGCTCCATGAGAACGTTGATGTGCGAAGGCGATTGACATGCAGGTGTTCCTAGTGAAGTATTCATAGATTGTGCAAGTAACGCATAATACCAGCTGTGACCCTGTATCGTCCCACTACTACATCTGAGAGACATTTGTATATCCAAATGAGGGCGACTCACTAGTAACAAAACCCATTACGGATTACCTCTGAAACCAGCGATCAAGCAAACTAAGTCTAAATATTCTTATATTGGCTCTCCTGTATACCATCTCTTAGACGAGTTGACAGGTAGGTAGACCTTGAGGATTAGAAGTTGTCGACCGAAAGACGTAGGCGAGGAATCCCAGAGGCTGTGTTAGCGTACGTTGAGGCTGTACGTCACTTAAATACGTTCAATTTTGAGTCAACAATTTAACTTACAGCCGTACCCGAAGCCAAATCCTAGTTGGAAAGACCGCGAAGATTGATGTTGTTAATGTTCAAGTTGTTAGTGTTCCGAAAGCTTCAACAAGCTCATGAGCCGAATCGGGAAGGACAGACTTCGTGTCCCAAACATGCAACAAACAAAGCGCGCAGGGGGGATAAATATGATTTGAATCTGGGTGAGCACTGCATAATTCTGGTCCTCACACAGCATTTATTTATGGCTCTGAGGGGAACTCGGGCCTTGTTTCTTGCTGCGGTCTCATCCGACTCTCACGCCGTTGCATCAGCAGAAGATATATGATAGTCACTAGCCTGGCGGCACCGTGAGACCTCGGTGTAGTGGTAACCGTAAGTCAACGTGCAGGCTCTTGTTCTCTAACCCCCAAGTTTCGGCATCCGCTGGCTAGGCTCAGGTGAGGAGCTATTAGTATCCAGGCTTCAACTAAACAGCAGCAGCTTACTTCTCGTTCAAGGTTTTCAAGGCGGCCATAGGAAGCCTGAGGACGAACCCGTAAAGATGTCAATCCACCGTCCCTTCCTTCAAAATATACGGGACTACGCTTCTTGGACTACTATTGCATTCACGGTTATCGCGGGTGCCGTCATCGTTCCCTGCTACAAAGGAGTTTTATTTGCCATTCGTAACTTTACCTCGCCTCTACATGCACTTCCCGGTCCGCCAAGCACTCATTTCTTTTGGGGAGTCATGAAAGATATATTCAAGGTGGAGCATTCGGTCTTACAAGAGCAATGGATGGACCAGTATGGACCGACTATCTCATATACTGGCATGCTGGGTGTATGTCACGTCCGTTTTCCAAAGAGTCTTGTCAGCTCATGTCGTTGCTGTAGATTCCGCGATTGTGGACAGTCGATCCTCGGTATGCTCTAACAGCCCGCCTGACGTTTGAATGACTTTCTGACAATGTTGTAG